CAGAGCTTCATCCAGCCCTCCTGCGCACACACACGCACACACACACACAGGCACACACACACAGGCACACACACAGGCACACACACAGGCACACACACAGGCACACACACAGGCGCACACACAGGCGCACACACAGGCGCACACACAGGCGCACACACACACACACACACACACACACACACAGGCACACACACACACAGGCACACACGCACACACACACACAGGCACACACACACAGGCACACACACAGGCACACACACAGGCGCACACACAGGCGCACACACAGGCGCACACACACACACACACACACACACACACACACACACACACACAGGCACACACATACATACACACACACACACACACACACACACACACACACACACACGGTCATTCAGAGAACAGCAGTGGAGCTGGAAGTGATTTTACTCGAGCTACAGGCATTGAGGGCAAATTTACAGCCAAGATGACAACAAGATAAGCCGGATCTCTGAACTCTCTGCTAAAGGAGCGTTCTGATCACTCATGATGACAGCGTGGAGTTTCTCTAGAAGTTCTGTAGTTGAAACCAGAAACCAAAACACCACCATTAGGATCAAAGCCTGAAAGGGTCAGTTTCAGAGAGAAAGCACTATTCCCAGATGAAACTTCACACACTGTAGTGGAGTAATGCATCCCCAATCTCCCAGTTCACATCACATTATGCTATTTTAGTCACGGATCAGACCATTTTTCAGATCAGCCAAACAGGGGAGGAGACAAATGTCATTTGCTTTGCATTATTACAGAAACAGCACTGCAAGACACGTTCAGTTTGAACAAACAGAATCTGTGAATTTACTAAAAATAAAATAAAGAAATGATCAGCTGAATAAAATAAACTAATATTCAGTGCTGTGAAAAATCCACTGTTCCTACTACTGTTGCTGATGACGCTCAATGTGGAGATCTAACATCATCATTTGTACAGCTCATATTTATTTTAGTCTCATCTTCAATAAATGATTCAGTTCTACAATTATTAAGCTTCATGCTTCATTGCTGGATGATCATTTCTGGAGAATTATTCAGTGGCGTATTTATGATGGCTGGTTGTCGCCACCTACTGGTTAAATAATGTAACTGCTGCCAACTATTATTTTTGAGCGTCAAGTTAAATGCATAATGCATGACGGTGATTTTAATCTTTACCATAAACACCAGTGGTTTTATCTAAACTATACACTGTCGTCCCAGTAACTGTAACTTCATAACTGACCCAAAAAACGAAAGACTATAGGCTCTATTTTAATGATTTAGATCAGTGGTGGGCAAACTTTTTAGACCCGAGGGCCACATCAAGATTTGCAAACCAAGTGAAGGGCCACATGTCAAATCCTTCAAACAATTACTTTATATTTATAGTGGCATATTAACACATTAAAAACAATTCTTAAAGTTTACTATTCAGTCAAATGTACAATAATCTAATGTGCAGTGCTTATAGAATATACAGATCAGTCATCATACAACTTGATGAAACCACAAATCTTTGATAAAAGACCTTTTTAAAGTGGATGTATGCATGGAGAATATATTCTATGACAAAAATCAACCCATTTAACCAATAATTATGATATCATTTGAGTCAAATTCACAACAATCTCATTTAAACTTTTATAAATATGCTGATATCAACCATATAAAACTATGAGATAAACCAGAAGAAGAATATTAGTCTTTGTGATTCCAAGTCATGTTATTATGAGTGTGTTAATGTGAACAAATAGCCTGAAAATAGTGCATTTTAATATCAGAGAGTGTGTTCTAATTCTACTGGTTGCTCTACCACGTACAATACTGCCATCACATGGCGTTCACTAGTATTGCATCATTAATTTACTAATTCTGAAGCAAACTGTTACTCAGAAGCAGCATTTTAAAAACTCCCTCGCGGGCCGGATGAAAGTGTTCAGAATTATGAATAATAATATATGCCGCATATGGCCCACGGGCCCTAGTTTGCCTACCTTTGATCTTGTGTTTAATAAAGTAAATATAAATCTGCAAATAATAAACAATACAGCTAATAATAATCCCATTATACAGATGCAGATGGTCATCAAGAAACTGAAGAAGCACCTCGAGGTGAAGAAGGCATGGAGGCAGTGCTGTTTATATTGATGGAGAAGATCATCATTTCTGGATCATTTTAATCCTTTAATTGTGTTCATCTGTAAATATATTTGTGTGTTGCTAATCATCCTGTGTGCAGAGGCGCATAACTAACACGCTCTGCTGGACTTTAGAGCAACTTTTAGTTGGTCAATGGAGCGGTCTATTTCAGCTCCTCAAAATAGCAGCGCTGCAACAATGCACCTTAACACACCTCCTATATAGACCTGCACACACACACACACACACACACACACACACACACACACACACACACACACACACACACACACACACACACACACACACACACACACGAGTCCACAAAGTGGCGCAAATGGATTTGCTGTTTAAACGACGTAACGCAAAACGTGAAACTACTGTGCACTGCTCTGAAAATAGCAACAAATCACACCAAACACGTCTTGTCCTTGTACAGGACCCAATATCTCTTACTTGATCTTTGTGTATTCAGATGTGAATGCAGTGATTGGAAGGATTAATAAACATATGCAAATCAGCCTCATTTATAATTGATGCTGCGTGGGTGTTTAGATCCCGATCTTTTAATGATTAATGGTGCAGCTTACACTGAACGCACTAATGCAGGCTGAACAAGTAGTGACAGAAGACACCTGAGAAACCGAATAACCGAATAAGCCGAATAACCCAGCACAAGCTCTCCCGTCATCATTATATTTTACAAGAAAACCTAAATGCTTTCATGCGGCACTCTCTCTGCCATCGTTACACCTTTAGGATTAATCTACAAGTAAAAAAATGTGTTAATCCACGTGTGTCACTTGTGTTCTAAACCATGGGTTGTGATCTGTATGAATCTGTTACACCCCTAACACACACACACTCATCAGAGCATTATTATACATCTTTAATTAAAGTGTGACACGGTAATGTTTGTGAATGGGTGTCTGATTCTGACCTTTGGCCTGGATCTTCTCGCAGTTGGGTGAGATGATCACACACTTGATCTTGTGCAGCTTCATGTGTTTGGTGACCTCTCGCAGGCCCATGACCAGACGCCGCTTGGCTTTGGCTTTGCTGGGCTCCTTCTGGTAGACACGCTCCTGAAAGCGCACCAGCTCCTGCAGCAGCAGCGTCACACTCTCATCAATCTCCTTACTCAGCACATGATTACAGTACCTGGAACACACACACACACACACACACACACACACACACTCACACGTTTGTTGGGCTGTGCAACATGATGATATAAATCATACGGACAAAATGAAAGTACAATTAGACCATCTATATCACAAACAAAACAATAGTGTGTGTGTGTGTGTGTGTTTTTTTGAAGAGTGTAAGCGTGAATATATATATATATATATATGTGTGTGTGTGTGTGTGTGTGTGTGTGTGTGTGTATATAAACCT